GGGTGAGTATCCCACAGCTGGAGGGCCCATGTCCCTGCGGGCTGAGCCCCATCAGTGGCAGCCCCAAGTGCTGCATTTCCCTCCCTGCCTTCCCTGCCCTCCCTGCCCACACTGCCCTTTCTGCCCTTTTTGTTCTCACTGCCCTCCCTGCCCTCCATGCCTGCACAGCAGAGCACTGGCCATCTGTGACATTCTGAATATAAAAAATGAGTGTTTGGGGCACTGAGGCTACAACCTCCCAGCCTGCTGGGGGTCCTCATGTCCTTGGGGGCTGGTGATAGCACCCTGACCTGGGGAGGGCACCTCGAGCTTGGGGATTGCCTTGTCATTTTTGCAGGAGAATACTGGGGCACTTCTTGGGCAGGACACTCCAGTCTGGCCCTGAATGGAGTTTCAGACTTCAGTCAGTCCCAGGGACACTCTGTTTTGCAGCTGGGGCCTCGCTATGGGGTTATTTAGCTGGGACTGGGATCTTCCTCCTCGTCCTTTGGTGCACAGCTGCAGCAAGGCTGGCTGCATATCAGGTTTGACCTATTCTGGACAAAGTAAGAAGTGGGACCATGGCTACATGCCAGGTGGGGAAACTGAGGCACAGAGCAAGCACGAAGGACCTCTTGTGATGGGCAGTTGGGCTGGACAGGTGGGGCAGGGGGCACAGGTGGCTGCTTCCCATCAGCTCTGCACCTTCTGGCAGTATCTGTGCTCCCCCAGAGATGGAGACACCAGGGACCATGGGAGGGAGAGCAAAGACCACCCCAGGGTGATACCAGGTGCGTGGGGAACCCTGTGGTATAGGGGAGCAGACAGTCCAGGGGTGATGTTGAAGCCCGGGTTTCATGGAGAAGCCCCTTCTCTGACTCCTCAGACCCCAGCACCTACCCATCACCTCTTGCCCCTGGCAAGCTGAGACGATGGCCATTGGTGGTCTCTCCTCTTTCCCAGGTGTCAGCTCTGTCACCTCAGGAGGTGACAACCATCCTACCAGCATGCCCCGGGCATCACCACTGCCATGGTCACCGTGGGGCCGGCCTGGTGTGAAGACCTTGGTCATTGCCGGGGTGTTTGTAACCACCCTCTGGAACTTGAGGTGCTTCCTCAACCCCTCCAATGGCTCTAGAGAAGACTCCAAACACATAGAGCCACTGGTGTTGCTGGTGTGGGAATGGCCTTCGAAACAGGTCCCCAATGTCAGTGGAGACGTGTGCCATGAGCTGTACGGCATCACAGGCTGCTGGCTCACCACAGAGCGGCAGCTCCTGCACCGGGCCAATGTCGTGGTGTTCCCCCATGCCAGGCTTCAGCCTGGCCAGAACAGGCTGCCCAAGGAGAGGCCTCCAGGGCAGAACTGGGTGTGGGTCTCCCTGGAGTCCCCCTCCAACAGTAGAGCTCTAGGAGGATGGAACCAGACCTTCAACTGGGTGATGACCTATAGGCAGGACTCAGACATCTTTATCCCCTATGGCAAGCTTGTGCCCAACCGGTCAGCCACTATGAACATCCCTGCAAAGACCAACTTGGTATCCTGGGTTATCAGCAACTACCACAGGACTCAGAAAAGAGCTGAAGTCTACAAAAACCTCTCCAGGTACCTCCATGTGAATGTATATGGGAAAGCAAACAACAGACCCCTCTGCAAGGACTGCCTCTTGCCAACAACATCCAAGTCCAGGTTCTACCTAGCCTTTGAGAACTCCATCCACCGGGACTACATCACGGAGAAGCTCTGGAGGAACTCGCTGCTGGCTGGCACTGTGCCTGTGGTGCTGGGGCCACCCCGGGCCAACTATGAGCAGTTCATTCCCGCAGATTCCTTCATCCATGTTGATGACTTCAACTCCCTGGAGGAGCTGGCCACCTTCCTGAAGACCATGAACTCCAGCCGCTACCGTCGGTTCTTTGCCTGGCAGAGGAGGTTCAGTGTGAAGCTTTACACTGACTGGAGGGAGAGGATCTGCACCATCTGCACCGTTTACCCCCACCTGCCCCGCGGCCGCCTCTATCCTGACCTGCAGAGCTGGTTCAACTCCTAGTGCGTGCCAGGACCATTGGGATGTATCCAGGCAGAGGATACAGGGGTGGGAGGCGTGGGAGGCACACACCTGCATACCAGGATGAGGGGCAGGGAGGGAAGGGATCACTCTCGTCCCAACCCAGCTGTTGCCACACTGGGACCTTGAGCAACACCCCATAACTTCATTTTGCTGATCCAACAACAACCACCTTGCCAGGGTGCTGACAGGACCAGAGGGTGCTTTGGAAATATATGGTACATTGCTGCCGAGGCTGTGCCTGTGGTGCAAGGTGTGGGCAGGGCAGGGGGCTGGTGGGTGGCTGGGGACTCCCCAACCTTCCCCCGTGATCCTCAGTGTCCCCCCAACACCATTTCCTGGGTGCCAAAGCCCTGGTGGCAGAGGCCCCGTAGTGACATTTGTGGCTGGGGTGGAGGAGCCACGTTCAGGCAGTCCAGGGGGGCCCAGCACCCCATGGCCAGCAGGGAGCACATCCTCTGCTCCCCCATTTCCCGTCAGCACCCATCTCCCCCACCCCACTTGAATTGTGGCTGTCACTGTGCCAGTGAGGAGCCACAGGACAGCAGATGCTCTCAGGGCAATCTCAGAGTCAGCCAGGCAGAGGGATGCTGTGGTTTGTCACTCCCTCCCTGCTGCAGCAGGAAGGAAGCAAGCTGGTGGCCTCCAGAGCAAAGCCAGTCCCGTGGGCACCCTGTACACACACACATTGCACTGTGGGGACCCTGCACCATGGCCATCATGCACGCTTCCTGCACAGACAGCACCCCACATTATTGGCATCCTGTACCACGTACACTGCACCATCGACACCCTGCATCATGGGCACCCATCTGGGATCAGTAGTGATGTCAGGTTTGAGTGACAGGACCAGGGAATGAGAAGCACTGCTCCACCCATACCTTGCTCTATGCCCCTCTGCTCAGTATCATCAACCCCAGTGATACAAACAATTTTTGTCACAAGTTTCCCCCTGTTTTCCTCCCTGCAACTCTATAAAGTCACCCAGCTTGACCCCTCCCACCCTGAGCCACCAAGTGCCCAGCAGGACTCAGGTCCCCCTTGGCAGAGGGGACAACCCTGCCCTGGTGCCAGCCCTGCTGGGGTGGCAGTTGAACGGGCACACCTTGCTCTTCTGACTTCTGTGGCTTCCGATTTCCGCTTCATTTTCTGGGTCAACCAGAAGTGGAGCAGGAGGAGCTGTGGGTGCCCACAGACAGGTGCTGGGTGCCCGGGTAGTGGGATATGGGGGTCAGGGCCCCTGCCTGTCTGGAAGTAGAAAATCAGATGGTGGAAATGTGGAGAAACAAACCTCAGGGAGATGATATCCTTCTCAGCTTTCTGCTGGCAACCCCACCAGCCTTCCATACCCTTAAACTGCACGACTGTGACAGGGGCAGTTTCTGGTGGATGCCGTGTATGGCTGTGCCCCCACCCTGCGGGCAGGCAGGGAAATATCCCTCGGTAACAAGCAGGGACGTGGAGGGAGCCAAGGGGGTCCTGCGGCACCCAGCCCAGCAGAGTCCCATAGTGTTCTGTTAAGCAGCTGCTTCAAATGCCCCCACTCCAGGTAGACCTGTAGACCAAATCTGCAGGTACCAGCTGCTGAGCTGAAAACAGGGCTTTCCAGAAGCTTCCCTACAGGCTTGGTTGGGGATTTCATTCTGCTCAGGGGAAGGTCCCTCAAGGGAAAGGGCTGGGGGCAAATCAGCTGCTGAGACCTTGGGGGGGGGAATGCAAAGTCATCCCCCAGACACTCCCAGTTCCCACTGGCTCAGCTTCCAGTGCCCACTGGACCTGCCTGGCTGGGTCGGCATCACCCCAGCATGAGGCTGCCTCAGCTGGATCACGCACACAGGAGCATCCATCCTTTGCCCATCAGTGTCACACCAGCATCCCTGTGGGTAAGGACAAACCCAGCTTCCCAGACCTTACTCTCTGCCTAGAACTCTATATCCTCCCTTAGTCCTTCCCTGTCCATGGCAGCTGCTGAAGCAGCCTGCAAAAGAGATCCCACTGCTTTCCCCCTTCCCAGAAGCAGCTACAGCAAACCAGCAGTTCAAACTGGGTGGAAGATGATCCCCCCCTTCACTTTTGAACCCCTCTGCTTTTGAGGGGGGAACAGCCCTGACAAGTTGGTGCCCCCTCCAGAACCAAGCTGCCACCAATCCTGGTTTGGGGGCCAAGATGCAGGCAGCTAAAACCCAGGTATTGCCAGTGTAAGAGGGCCATGTCCATTCTCTTTGGATGCCTTGGTCCATTGTCACTGTGCCCCCACATGCAGCCAAACATGCAGTGCTGAGCTGCAGGAGCAGGGATGCAAGTGAGGCAAGGAAAGGGTTAACTCATTCTTGCCCTAGAGAACTCAGAGATTTATTTCACTGCCAGGGGGAATGTGATTAAGAACAAAAAATATAAAAATCATCATTAACTACAGCAGGCTGGAAGGCTTGGGGTGCTAGCAGCATGGACAGGGCGGTCCCCTGGGCTGGGATTTCCCAGGAAAAGGTGGTTTCTGGGCAGCCAAGCCAGGCTGGGGCAGAGGACAGTGGCTGGAGAGTGAGGAGGGCCCAGGGGACTGAGGGTCTTCAGTCCCGTTTGCCCAGTTTGTGCTGGGCACAAGCACTGGGAAGGCCCCCCCTGACCCAAACAGGCCTCACCAGCTGACCCCCAGAGGGGTGAAGCTCTCCTGTGCCACAGCTCAAGGGGCAGTGGGGGCTCAACTCCACCCCTTGCCCCAGACCTCAGCTCACTCTGGCTGACCAGGAGGGTGGGCAGAGCCACCAGGGCCCCTCGGCCCTGGGCATGGTGTTTCAGCCCTTGCTCTACATGACAGGGAGGAGGCACCTGGGAAACTAGATCACTACAAAAATGTTTGCTTTTTAGAAACTACAACAAAAACCATCTTAAAAAATAATAAAACCACCCCCCTCCCCCCTCCCCCCAAATCTAAAAAATACTTTTTATTGGGTCTTCCAAGAGAGCGGTTGGGCTGGGGCTGGGCTGGGCGCACGTGGCTTCAGGGGGTGCAGTGGGGCAGGAGCAGCTGCCCACAGGAGAGGTCAGAGGGAGGCCAATGCTGCTGTGACCAGTAAGCTCTCATAACTGGGAAGGGCTGGAAGCAACTGCAGAGAGTGAGCATCACCCCTGCGACAGGCTCCCAGCCCCTTGCACCCCAAAAAACCCCACACAGCAGCCCAACAAGAGGAAGCAGGGCTTTGCCTGTGCCAGCCCAGGGCAAAGTGGGGGCTGCCAGACCACCTGCAGTGATCCCACAGCCCCCCCGTTCAGTGGCCGCTGTTGCTCATGGAGAGCCCTGGCTGCAGCGCTTGTGGGAACATCTCAGCTTTGTGGAAGGTCGGCATGTAGATGGGAGGGGAGGGTGCCAGGCTGTAGCCCTGGGACGTCACTGGGATGGGCAGGGTGGGGGGCACCAGGGGCTGGTTCATGTCGTACATCATCCCATCTGCCTCGTTGCCGTAGGGCAGCAGCAGCCGTTTGCCTTTCTGACGCCGGTTGCAGAACCAGACCCGGACCACCTGCAGGGAAGGAGACAGAGATGGGTGAGGGGGTGACCCCAGGCACTCTGTGGGTGACAAGGAGACCCTTCTACTGGTGGCACCCCCACAGCACTCCATATTGCCAGTGCAGCCCCCTCCCTGCCAAAACTCCTTCCTGGTCTGAGCCCTGACAGACTCCAGCCAGGACCACTTTTCCACTGCTTCCAGAGCTGAGAGAGGTAGCAAATGTTAAACAGGAAAGAAGATAATGAATTGAAAGAAAGGTTTCTCTCCAAAGGCCAGTAGCATTATCAGATGAAGTCAATATGCATTTGTGACTGGAACTTGTGTATTGTTTGTAGGTTGTGTTTTGTTGGTCTTCTGGTGCATTACCACTTCCAATGAAGAAAAAAAGTTTTCACCTTCCATGTGTGTTCTTGGGGACAAAATTCAGCTTCTTCAGAGACGAATTAGTATCAAGGGATTACTTTTATATATTATGTGCATATACACAAACACAGATGGGTGTTGTGTTGGGTCTGGGAATTATTTTTGGTACTTTTAAGTTTTAAATACTCCATCTGTGAACGAAAGTCTCCTTTGGAGCCAAGTGTGGGGTTTTTTTCATACTGATCAGCTGTACCTCACAACTGCTCACTTCTGCTCTGAGACAAAGTATCAAACTGGCCTGATGCAGATGCTCAGGAGTTGCTGCCATTTGGGCACCCACCCTTCTCACTCTCCCAACCTACATCTTTATCCAGGTTGAGGTCCTCAGCAATCTGGGAGATCTCCTGGGGGTTGGGCTTCACGCACTTGCGGAAGAAGCTCTCCAGTGTCCCCTTCACGTTGGTCTCAATGCTGGTCCTGCGTTTTCTCTTCCGGGCTTGGGCCAGTACTTGCTCCGCATTGCACATCTGGGAACAAGAGAGGGAACATGTTGGTCACCGGAGAGAAGAGTCTCCACCAGGTTCTGGGCACATGTGTGGCTGGCTGCAGAGCTCTGGGGACAGACTATGAGTCTCTGTGACTCTCCAATGAGCATCAGTCCACTGTGACTGGGGCCATTCCCAGTAACCCAGCCCTGCCAGCAGCTAGTGTGGCGAGGCTGGACACATCTTCCTACGCCCCTGCCAGATTCCCCGGGGAGCAGTAAGCTGCCCATTTAGCCTGAGGTTCCAGGAGGACCTGGCTGTTCCAAGATGGGAGCTGCCATAATCACTAGGTATCTGTAGGGAAATTGGGCTCCCCTCAGCTTGGCAGAAAGCAATACCCAGTGATATGCCCCCAAGCTGGATTGAAGCCATCCAGTGAGATGCTGCTGTGGCACAAAACACCTATTCCCCGCTTCTCTCCCCAAAAGCATGTTGGAAATGGAGAAGAATCTGTGGCTTGAGGGCTTGCAGGCATAGGGTACCCCAACTCCCAGCCTCCCTAGCCCGCACCTCTTGCATGTTGTCCGTGTTCTCCGCCTCGTTGAGCCAGCGCTGCAACAGCGGTTTCAGCTTGCACATGTTCTTGAAGCTGAGCTGGAGCGCTTCGAAGCGGCAGATGGTCGTCTGGCTGAACATCTTCCCTGCGTGAGGAGGGAGGGCAGGGCATTATGCACCGTGCAGCTGCCCCCATCTGCAATCCCCCAGGAGCTGCCACCCCCAAGCCTCCCCTGTCCCTGGAAGGCCAGGGAAGGGATTCTTTCTGCTGCTTTAGCAGGGATTTAAAGCTCTGAAAAAGCAACTGTGGTTATTTTATTAAACCAGTTCCCTGCTACCGAACCTTTCAAGCTCACCGCAGGGCTGGGCCCCCTGCTCCCCCCCTCAACTCCCGCCCCGGGGTTGGTGCTTGTCGGCTCTTTTGCGGGTCGTTAAGGAGCAGAAATCTCCATTGGCCCAGGTAATATCATCCCCCTCCCCGGCTTCTCCCTTCCCCCAAGCTATGGGGGGAGAAGAGAGCCCTCCCCCGACCCTCTTCTGCTCCTCACCGTAGAGTGTGCCCAAGGCCAGCCCCACGTCAGCCTGGGTGAAGCCCAGCATGATGCGTTTGTGCTTGAGGTCCTTGGCGAACTGCTCCAGCTCTCCAGAGGTTGGTGCATCCTGGCAGGGGCAGAGAGAGACAGAGAGGACAGCTCGCGGCCACGGGCTGCCAAAAGACGAGGTCCCCGTGGAACGGGGACATAAGAGAAGGAGGCTCAGCTGAGCCCTCGGCAGCACCAACATGCAATGCGACAGTGCTCATGCGATGCGGTCCTTGGGCGATGGGATGGACGACAGAGCGGATTTTCCCAACCCCTGGACGAGGGACTCTCTTCCAGGGGTTGGGAAACAAGCAAAAACTCTTGAGGTACCACGAAGCACCTTTCACCATGCCCCACATAGGCCCCCCCACCATGTCCCAGACTGCGAACACGGTCCAGATCAACCCACGCTGGCGCGGCGGCCAAGAGTGGCACAATGATCACCCAGACCTCCTGGTCTGCCTCATCACGCTTTGAGAATGTCCCCTTTATCCCCGGCTCGCGCTCTCCTGGCCTGACCAGAGGCAGCACCGACGGCCACATTCGACTGATGGCCCCAGATCCGCCCCACTCCCACTCATCCCACCACACGACACCAAGACTTAGCTCTCCCGCGGCGTGGGCCACTTCTCCATGGCTCTGGGGCTGGGACAGGCCCTCGCCAGCCGCTCTCCAGCCTGCGCCCGGGACAGGGAAAAGGCTCCCGTGAAGCGAGGGATCAAAGCGCCCGAGAGACGCGTGGGATTCAAGCTCCTCTTTGCCACCAGCAAGCTATTTTCTTTTGGCAAGCGGTTACCCAGGCGCTTCCCACCTCCCTGCTGCGCAGTCTTCAGCCACTGCGGTGGCATTTTGAAGTCTTTAACCCAATTTCCAGTTATTCAGCAGAGTTGCGGGTTTTCAAGGCTTTCGTCCTGTCACCGAGCCGCGGCTTATAATTCTGGGCATAGATCGACAGCAGGAAGCCAGGAATATACCTCCCAGGGGGCATTCTTCTCAGTCCCGCAGCCGGGAAATACCACTCGTGTCAACCCTCTACCAGCGCGGCCGGCTACGGCCCGGGGACCCGCACCTGTCGTGCGTGGGAGCTCCCGCAGCCACGGCCCGGCGGTGGCTGTGCAAACACACCCAACCCCCGCACGGACCAGCCCTGACATCGGCCGCGCTGGTGCTCCCGGAGAGGGCTCGTGTTATGGCAAGATGTAAAAATATTAAAAACTAACCCAAACCACAGGTCCAACCGTGCCGGTAACCACTGCTGCCGTCCGCCCCTCGCCCTCATCTTAGGGCTCTCTGCCCCAGGAGCCCACGGAGCTCCGGGAGCAGCGGCCGGGAACGCAGCTGAGGAGACAGTGGCGGCTTGCCAGGAGCTCACAGGGGACCGTGCAGCGCTGCCCCTAGAATCCCTCCGGAGCCCACCTTCGACATCGCTACCCGGGACAGCCCCGCCGCATCGCTTACCAGGGGCGACAGAACAAAGCGAAAACTGCTCCATTAAGTCCCCTAATCCCCCGGTTTTACCCCAAAGCAGCTTCCCCGAGGCGCTCCCCTCGCTTAGAGGGTGACCGAGCCGGGATGAGCCCCAGTGCCGTATCAGGGCTTCTCCCCGGAGGCATCCGACGGCGGGGCTGGGGTCTCGGCGAGACGGGGCTATGGTCCCCGTCCCGGCAGCGGCACCGTGTGGGGAGGAAAGCCGAGACACGCCATGTGCGGGCGGCGCAAGGCCGCCCATCCCCACCCCGTCGGGTCTCACCTCCTCGCCGCTGTCGCTCGAGTGTCCGCCCTCACTGGCGGCGCCGCTGGAGCTGCCGCTGCTGCCCAGTCCCGAGGGGCCGCCGGCGCCCGGCTGCAGCGCGGCGGGGCACAGCTGAGCCCCGGGGAAGGCAGGGGCGGCCGGGCCGGGGAAGGGCGGCCCGGGCAGGGCGGCGGGGCCGGGGGCGCGGGGCTGGCCCAGGGCGGGGGCGGCCAGGCCGGGCCGCAGCAGGCGGCCGTGCGGGGCTCGGGCTCGGGCTGGCTGCAGGACCGACTCGGGCGCGCCTCGGCCTTAGCAGGAGGCGCGGGGGCGGGCGGGGGCAGCCAGGCGCGGGCCGGTGGCAGGTCGCGGGCAGGCTCGGGCTCGGCGGCAGCGGAGAAGGGGAAGAAGAGCGGCTGTGCGGGCGCCCCGTCGAAGCTGGCACGGGGGAAGGGTGGGCCGCCGTCGGTCAGGAGGCCGAAGGGGGCGGCCGGCAGCCCCCCGTCCGGGCTGAACATGCTGCCCGCCGCCCTAGGGCTCCATGCGGGGGCTGCCGGCCTCTGCCTCCCTGCTGCGGCGCCGCCGGAGCCTCTGAGAGCGGCGGGGCCGGGCCGGGCCGGATGGAAATGGGCCCCGGCCCCATTGGGCCCCGCATCAGTGGGTCGGGCGTGAACTTGATCCCCCGGGGGGGCGGGGGGCACGGAGGGGAAGGTGCGGTGGGAGGGGGCTGCGCCGGCCCACACCCTGGCCGCGGGGAGGTGGACGGGACGGCCCCGACGGGACAGGGAGAGGGGGAGGATACCGGCCTTCCCTCGCACCCTGCACTGCTTGAGGGGGGGACCCACGACAGTGTTAGGGCAGCATTAGCCCCAGAGTCTCCCCACCTGGGAAACCCCTCAGCGCTATGGGGCCTGGACAGGGAAAGGGTAGCTTTGGGGAGCTGCAGCGTCATGAACCGTGGCCAGGGGCTGGTGTGAGGGCAGCCCACTCTCCCGCAGCAGCTCCTTGTCCCCAGGACAGAGGACAGGCCCCGGGATGCCAGTGCCATCGTGCAGCAGCAGGGATGGTCTAGATCTTGGCCATCACCTCTTGCCCCTCTTGATGCCTGGTCTTATCAACTGAACCTTGTGGCTCCATGGCGAGCATGGACAGAGCTGGGCCTCCCTAGACTTTTCACACTCTCACTATCCCTCTCGTCTTCCTCTTTCTGCAGAGGAAAGTTGTGGTGTGGAGGAGCGTCTCTGAGCCTGAGACCCCAAAGATCAGGGTGTGCTGCCAAGGAGGAAATTGCAGCCCAAGCTGTTGGCTCCACGATGAAGCATACTTCATATTTTCTCTAAAGGACTTTCCCCTCGCACCGCCCTTCACAATGGCACTTTTGGGGTCAGCTCTAGGCTTTTCCCCCTTCTGTCCCGGCTCAGCACCGGGAGCTTCCCTGATCCCAACACTGCCATCACATCAGCCTCTGGATATACCTGATGCCAACTCCTGCATACAGCAGGCACCGGTGGTGCAGGCACTCCTTAAACCCAGCTGGAGCAGGGTGAGGGGTGACCCCACTGCTGACCCCCCCGGACCCCAGACGGAGCAGGGTGAGGAGCAACTCCGCTGCTGACACTGGTCCCGACACTGCTCCCTGTTTATTAACCTGGATTACCGGTAGCTGCTGCTGTCTCGCAGTGGAGATATGCCGAGGAGATAGGCTGGAGCAGCCTCTCCCGCGGCGATGGGGATGAGGCTGTGGGGGAACTAGCGGCAGGCACTTGAGTGCTGATTATGGAGCACTCCCTTTGGCTCCCGAGACAGCTGGCACCCAGGGACTGGCACCCCAGGCCTCAGGGGGTGGGATTTAGGGACTGGCACCAAGGGACTGTACCCAGGGACTGACATGCAGGGACTGGCATTCAAGGACTGGTATTCATGGTGCCAGCAGGAGCTCGTGGCACTGCTGCATGTTGGGGGAAGTGGAACAGCTAACCCCCCTAATGATACTTCTATAAGGAAAAAAAATGGTCAAATGGATGAACTGGAATTAATGTCTCTTCCTGACTCCTGGCAGGACATCTGCCTTACTGCCCAACCTGGTTGTGTCAGGTTGCTCCAGGAGGGAGGGCAGCCTCAAGAAAATGGTGGAGGATGCTAAAAATCCTGACAGTGGGATCGTGTACCCTTTACTGAGCCCTGTGGCTGCGGGACCGGGGGGGAGGGCTCACATCCAGAGCTGGTGAGGCACCTTCCTGAGCAGGGACTGAATTCGGTTGTGTCCAGGGGTGACCTGGACCCTGCGCTGTGATGCCCAGGGAATGCTGGATCCAGTGCTGTGCAGGCAGGCCTGCCTGCTGCTGCCCACGGCCTGCCCACTGCCTACCCCACTGCCAGCGGGCAGAGGAAATCTCTCTGCGGGACCCCGATGGCAGCCATCAGCCCTGCTCCTCCCGGGCTCCTGCTGCGGCCCAGGGTTTCAGAAGCTCCTTGACCGGGCAGTAACTCCCCTTCCCTTTGATTTATTGTTCCCGGGATGGACCCCCTCCTCCTGCCAACCTGCTCTTTCTCTCCATCCCCCCAGGAAGCCTCCCAACCCTGCCCCCCCCCCCACCCCTCGGCCCTCAAACGCATTCCTACTCCTTTCATATACAGACCGAGGGGAAGGGAGACGTTGACTTTGAACCGGTCCCTTTGTAGGAACGAGGCCCATTGTGGCGGTGATGGTTTTAGCTGGGGGGATGTGGAGGGAGTCAGTGGGGTTTCTTGGTGTGTGTCCCCCCCCTACATTTCAATGGGGTGATTTTGGGGGAGCTGTGTGAGCTGCCTGGTTATTGTGTGGGGTCACTGAGCACCAATGGCCACCAGTCTGCCTGCTCCAGAGGAGAAGGATGCATGCATCCTTCCATCGCCCCGTGGCTGAACCTGCTGGTGCCCCAGGCTTGGCCAGGCTCTGTGGTCTAAGGCAGCCAGGGATCAATGAGATCCTGTTAGGAAAAGGGGAACAGAAAGAAAGGCATCTGTTCTTCTGGCTCACTCAGATGGCAGCAGGCTGGGGGGGGGCAGAGATGTAAGTCTGCTCATCCTCCCTTTGCTCTGTGCTGGTGTGGCGCTGGTGTGGCTTGTGGATGAGATTTTAAGAGAGTGGATGACCACAGATGATGTTTTACTCATGGTCAGCCCACCCTTTCCTGTGGCAGATGATGGAGGAGCCCTGTGCCTGAGTTGCTCACTGAAGGCAATCACACCTCAGGGGCTGCAGCCCTGCACATGCTGGGTCAGGGTCCCATGATGAAGGGGTCACCCTAGGACCTTCTAGGGAAGGTTGGGCAGGTGGTTCAGCTCCAGAAGCCCCGTTTCTGGAGGAACACTGACCTGCTGCCTGCCAGTGCAGCTTGCTGGGCTGCAGCTGGCCTGGGTGGGCAGGTTGGAGTCGGTTCTTCCAAACCCGACTGAGAGGAAAATCCCAGAGCCTCTTTACAAAGACCCCATGCTTTCATTAGTCACATCCTCACCACCACACCGCCTGAACACAACAGCGGGTCCTCCCTGCTGTGTTACAGCTGGAGAAACTGAGGCGGGGGCTGAGCATGGACCCTGCACCCAGCCCCAGGGCATCCTGGGATGGCTGCAGCACAGGTGCCGTGGCCCTGGACAAATGATCCTTCCATGCCCGTACATGTTGTGGGGACACGGATTCCCAGGGGACACAGGGGTCCTGCAACTGCTGTACCAGGAGCAAGGGGGTCTTCCCAGGAGGAACAGACAGGTTTTACTCCAAGCTAGAGCCTTCCAAAAAGTCTGGATATGCTCCGAGAGATTGATGAGCTCTGAGAGCAAAGGACAAATTTGGGGACCTCGGGAGACGGGAGTTGGAGGCTGTTCCCCCAGGACTGAGCCCTGGGGGTTCTCGGGTTATTTGGGGTGCGCATCATCCAGGGCTGCAGCTGGAGAATCCATGAGAGAAGCATTCCGACTGGGTGCTTTGGAGGTGAGTCAGCACCCACCTCCGGCTGCCGAAACCAGGAGAGATGGTATCAGCCTGATGGGGGGGCTGGCCTGATCAAAGGAGCTCGGCTGCACACAATGGGGGGACGTGATAGCCCTTATCTGCCATTCCCGAGGTGCGAAGGGCCCTGGAATCGAGGGGCGGAGGGGAGGGTGGGTTCTCGGTGCTTCAGGGCTGGGTGCGGGGGCTCCCACCCGAACCTTCTCTGGGGAAACCTCTCCTGGCAAACACTGAGAAGAAAATAACCCTCAGTTCTTTCCGTGTGTGTGAAAAGCCTTACGAAAGGTTTAAAGGCTCTTCCAGCTGCAGGAGCTGGATGGCTACCCGCTATTCCCCAGGGAAGGTTTGGGGCTGGGGGACCCACAGCATGCTCCCTCCCGTCTCCTTGACACACCCCGCTTCGAGAGGAGCCCACTGAGCCGTGGGTCCCACACCACACACTCACATGGGTCTCAAACACGGTCTTTTAATAAAATCTTTTAAAAGAACTACAATTCATACAACGACGACGAGAGGTGTGGGGAGAGGGGCAGCAGCCCGTGGGGAGGGGCAGCGCAGGACACAGGGACAGAGTCTGTGCCGAGACAGGCTCTGTCAGCCACCCCACCAGGGCCAGGGCCAGGGCCAGGAACAGTTCCACGCCACCACCGCTCACTGGCACGTCCCTGCCACTGCTGCCTGCCCTGAGTCTGCCTGAGCGTGCAATGGCTTCCCTGAGTGCAAGAGGTCACCCCCATGCAACAGGTCACCCGTGGTCATGACAGACCACAACAGGGTCTGAAGCCACATCTGTGCAAAGTAACTCAAACTCTGTCCTGGGCCTTCCGCTGGAGGGGTCACACCCAGTGCACCAGGGAGGCTTTGGGGAGCAGCACTGGGCCCCGAGCAGGGATGCGTTGGTGAGGGCTGGTGAGCCTGGACACTGGTAAGACTGGGGTGCAGGGGGTGTCTGAGGCCCAGGAGGTGCCTGGGATGGAGCAGTGGAGACTGTCTCCTGCCACGGAGGGATGCCTGCAGAGTGTGCAGTGCCAGACCCCACAGGGATGATGCCAGGGCGTGGGCTCCATGAGACTTGAAGTAGCACAGCAAAGCCCCCATGCCTCGGCTATTCCTCCCAGCCACCCCTGCTTCCTCCAGTCCTGCTCCTTCCTCCCCCACGGCCACACAGGCTTAAAAACAAAACCCTGAACCCTTTTTCTGAGCTTTCACCCCACCAAGGCCTGGGGTAAGAGAAAGCTCATCCTCTGCCAGCACGGCCTGGCATGGGCTCCAGGGCCACAGTGGCACTGGGATTGTCTGCACCCTGGGGCAGCATCTGAAGGAGCATCCTGGGGAGTGATGCCAGCACCTGCTTGAGCCACTCCTGCTCCTGTCATTGGCTCCCAGAGCACTATCCTCCTGCCAGGGGCTGCCCAGGCTGGGAAGGAGGGGGCAGAATGGGCACCGAAGCCCTTGGTGATGCCATTTGCTCCAGGGAAAGGCTCCATCCCTGGCAGAGGGGCTCTGGGCAGGCTGGCAGCCCTGATG